TTTCCCCATTTTCAAATGAAAACACTGCTTTTCAGCAACATCTGTACTTTATATGACAAAAGATCTGGTACAATAAGAGGTTCTAGTTTCTATACTTTGGAGACAGATTAGCAAGTGTAGAAGATAAACATATCTAAGTATTGGCATTGAGAACTACAACTCTGAACTGGAATAGAGATTAGAACAAAGCATATGCTATCATAGTATTAATTTTAACGTAAGTTTTTAAACAGCTTATTCAATATCCTCAATACCATGAAAAGAGTGATTAAGTTATACTATATGGACATTTTCATTGTGTAAATATGCTGAAGTAGTACAAGGGATAGCAATAAGTGCTAAATCTATTAGGCACTTTATTAAGAAGAATCTTTACATTTACTGTAAATCATAATTATCTGATTATGATCCAAAACAAACATGTTAAGATGATTTCTATAACAACTAATTTTAAATGGACACAATAGTCTACCTGCATTAGGGTTTTGTCTGGCACCCACTGCTGTAACATCAAAGTACTATTTACCCTTTTACAGTGGCTTCTGTAGTTTGATTTGTATTATAAAAATACAAGAAAGCCCAGTTATGTACACATTATTATAACATTATTGACATTTGCCTCATTTTCCTTCCAACACATTTTTCCATTGTTATTATACACACTGTTGCATCTCAGTCTTAGATTGTCAGTCCTTTGAGGCAGGGAGGCTGGGTCTAGACTGGCAAGTTTTTCCGCAAAATCATCTGCTTTTGTGGAAAAACTGCTAGCTGACTACACTGGCCGCTTGAATTTCCGCAAGAACACTGACGATCTCATGTAAGATCGTCAGTGTTCTTGCAGAAATACTGTGCTGCTCCCGTTCGGGCAAAAGCCCTCTTGCACAAATCATTTGCGCAAGAGGGCCAGTGTAAACAGCACAGTACTGTTTTCCGTAAAAAAGCCCCGATCACGAAAATGGCGATCGGGGCTTTTTTGCGGAAAAGCACGTCTAGATTGGCCACGGATGCTTTTCTGCAAAAAGTGCTTCTGCGGAAAAGCGTCCTGCCAATCTAGGCGCTCTTTTCCAAAAATGCTTTTAGCGGAAAACTTTTCCGTTGAAAGCATTTCCGGAAAATCATGCCAGTGTAGATGTAGCTGGAGTGTTTTATTGCATCTAACACACAGGCCCTCTTAAAAAATGGAATAAGGGATCTTTTGGAAAAGGCTTTATTTTCCAAAAGATCCCAGTCTAGACTGGCACTTTTTTCCGGCAAAGCTCCGAGCCGGAAAAAAAGCGGCAGCCATGTTTATGCAAATGAAGCGGGGGGGATTTAAATTCCCGCTTCATTTGCGATTGCGATGTGTCTAATTTGCATCCCTTTTACGGAAAAGGGATGCAGTCTAGACACAGCCCTACTGTTTTGGCTAAGACTATCTGAATCTATATGTAGGGGTTAGGTGTAATAACTCTGAATCTGAGCATTGTGTGACAGAAGTTAACTCACACTTAAAAGGAAATCGTGAAGGCTCAGTCGTTTTTTGCCATACATCTTGAATGAAATAAATGATCTTAAATTTCATATGTGTTTCAGTGTTCTCACCTGATCTTGGTATCAAACCCTTACAATAGTTACTTGAACTTTTTCATTTAAAATTTTACTGAAATATTTTAGGCACTTAAGTGATGAAAAGATTTCAGAATAATTACCCAAAAGAAGAAAAGCAGAGTTGACAAATCCTCTATCAGAGAAAAGGTATGTATGTCTTAACTCTTTTGCAACAGAGGTCTGCAATTGCTGACCTTGCTTCTGTAACTAGCATTGCAAGATTCAAGCCACGGACACTGCCATTTACATTCATGTTAAGGCAAAACAGTTAGAAGCTGCATTTTGTGGAAGTTTCCAATCAGATTTAATGGTAAAAAGATGTTTTTAAATAAATGACTTAGCTAATTTGTAAAATAAGTAGTAGTTTGAAAGACACTTCACATTGTATCAAATCAGTTGGAAATCCAAAAAATGCTGTAGAACTTGATAAAAAATGAGAAACTTGTAATTTTTTGCCTTTAAAATAAATGTTAAGATACTTACAGGACAGCTGAAAGTAATGACTGGGCTTTCTTCAATAAAGGTTCAATCTACAGTGAAATGGGAGAGAAGATGGGTGTGAGAAGAGTGACTGATAAGGTCATGTATCAACTTCAGTAAAAATATTAAGTGTATAAACAAAAAATTTAACCTGTAATTTATGTACTTTAATGGTGAGGTTGAATTCATGTTCTCCCCTATCCTTTTCAAAGGAAGATACAAGTAATGATTTTATCACATTTAAATGAAACAGAATAAGTTTCCACCCAAGTCACAAAATGCACAAGTTACTCACATTTTAACCTTGTACTTTGAACATGTTCAGTCATGCTTTAGTCAAATACAGGGGTATAGGGATGATAGTTAATAGCCTGTGGTATAAAAGCAGTCACACTAAGGCTACATCTATACGCAGCGCTATTTGGGATACCAGAGGTATCCCGAAATAGCTAATCCACGTCTTTTGAGCACACCTGTTATTCAAAGCTGCCGCTCTGAAGTACCCCCTCTTCCCCGCTGACTCTAATAGAGGCAGCAGGGGGCGGGGGGGGGGGGGGAGGAGCAACTAGTCAACTATTCTGTCAACTATCCAATAAGCATTTGTTTATGGGATAGTTAACTAGTCCTTAACATCCCTAGCAGGGACTCAAGCAGTCCCTGTTCACCTGGGGTTCCCTGCTGTGCCTCTGCCTTTTAAAACACAGTAAGAGCTGCAGGCGGCTCTTACTATATTTAAAAGGCAGAGGCACAGCCAGGATAGCAAGCACCGCACCCCACATTGACTAATCGAATAGTCAATGAAATTCCATCAACTACTTGATCAGCTGATTAATCAAAATTTAACATCCCTAGTGGGGAGCACAGAATACTGGTTGCAGAGGTGGGAGATAATTCTGCAGCTCCCCCTAACCTCCAGGACAGGGACTTGGTGGCAAAGGTGTACCTGAACCTGATATAGCACAAAGGCTGAGCCTGCCCCAGAAACACTCTGAGGCCCTGTCCCCGTGCACCAGGTGTGGGCAGGGAAGCAGGCTCAACTTAGCAGGATCCAAATGTGGTGGGGGTTTGTATGTGGAGGTATCCAGGAGTGGGGTAAGAAGATTCTGTATTGGGTAGTCTGGGTACTGGTGACTCAATGGTGGATTTGAATGACTAGGTCTCAGGTAGTTCCATGTGCAAGAGCAATAGGACTCTGAAAAGGGATCCAGGTGAAGATGGTTGTGAGTCAGAGGGAGATCTGAGAGTGAGGGGATAGGACTCAGTGGGATGGGGACCTTAACACTCTCTAATGCAGTGGTTCTAAAACTTTTTGGCCCATGGCCCACTCCACTCAATGTAGATCTTTCCACAGATCACCAGCCAACCAACCATGATGACACAATAGGTATGGAGGAGATGGGGGTGGGGACTACAGAGTCTAGCCGGGAGATAGGGTGCAGGAGGGAGGCTGCAGAAGTGGGGTGGAGGTCTGAACATGAGGGAGTCCAGGGGACGTTACCTGGTTCTACACCTCCAGCCACTCCCATGCACCCCCCTGCTGCTCTCATTGGCCAAGATTCCGACCAAAGGGAGCAGTGGGGAAAGTCTCCAGGCAAGCCGTTTCCTGTGCTACCATTCCCCCAGTTGGGGGAGGGGAGTGGTGGGGAGCAGCAGCACACAAAGCCACTTCCTGCCCCCATGAGCTGGATCCAGCTTGCAAGGC